AGAATTCGTACAAAATCGATGAAAGAGAGGAGAAAGATATCTTTCGGTTGGAAAAACCTCTTCTAAGGATTATTTTCGATTATAAACGATTCCATCGTCCTTTGCGATATATCAAAAATGATCAATTTGAAAATGCTGTAAGAAATGAGATGTCACAATTCTTTTTTCATACATGTCAAAGTGATGCAAAAGAAAAAATATCTTTTACGTATCCATCTAGTTTATCAACTTTTCTTGAAATGATGCAAAGAAAGACGTCTCTCTTCACAACAGAAAAACTCTCCTATGATGAATTGGATAATCGTTGGAGTTCTATTAATGAACAAAAAAGAAACAACCTAAGGAATCAATTTCTAAATAGGGCCGAAGCTCTAGATAAGGAATTTTTTGCTTTGGATGTACTCGAAAAAAAGAGTAGATTATGTAATGATGAGACTAAAAAAAAATACTTACCTAAAATATATGATCCTTTCTTGAACGGACCCTATCGCGGACGAATCAAAAAAAGTTTTTTATTCTCAATCAAGAATAAAACTTACCCAAAAAACTACATTTGGATAAATAAGATTCACGCCATCCTTCTTAATATTAATACTGATTATCCAGGCTTTGAACAGAAAATAGATAGATTTGATAAAAAATCATTATCAAATGAAATTCGTTTTTTTTTTAACTTGATCAGTCAATTTTCTGGAAAATCAGTATCCAATTTCAATTTTAAAGGACTTTGTTTATTTCGAGAACATGAAAAGATGGATTCCGAAGCTAAAAAAAAAAAAATGAAGTTTTTATTCGACGCAATTCTAACTGATGCGAACGATAAAACAATTATAAATAGAAAAAAATGTATTGGAATAAAAGAAAGCAGTAAAAAAGTTCCTCGATGGTCATACAAATTAATTGACGAGGTAGAACACCTGGAAACATCCGGTGAAACAGCGGATTATGAGATTCGTTCAAGAAAAGCCAAACGTGTCGTAATTTTTACTGATGACTCAGAGAATGCCAATGCTTATACGGATACCAAGGATACTGATAATTCTGATGAAAAAGATGAATTAGCTTTAATACGTTATTCACAACAACCGGATTTTCGGCGAGACATAATCAAAGGATCTAGACGCGCTCAAAGACGTAAAACTGTTAATTGGAAAATCTTTCAAGCAAGCGCACATTCTCCTCTTTTTTTGGACAAAATTGACAAACCCTCTTTCTTTTCTTTTGATATTTTCGAGCCAATGAAAATCCTTTTTCTAAATTGGATGTGGAAAAATAAAAATACAGAATTGAAAATTTCGGATTCTACAGAGGAAAAGACAAAAGAGATTAAGAAAAAAGAGGAAGAAAGGCGTATAGAAATAGCCGAAGCCTGGGATAGCATTATATATGCTCAAGTAATAAGAGGTTTTTTATTAGTAACCCAATCGATTATTAGAAAATATATTCTATTACCCTCATTGATAATAACTAAAAATATCGTTCGTATACTATTATTTCAATCTCCCGAATGGTCAGAGGATTTAAAGGATTGGAATAGAGAAATGTATATTAAATGCACCTATAATGGCGTTCAATTATCCGAAACAGAATTTCCGAAAAACTGGCTAACTGAGGGTATTCAAATAAAGGTCCTTTTTCCTTTTCGTCTGAAACCTTGGCACAGATACAGATCTAAGCTACGATCCCCTCAAAAGGAAAAGGATCCAATGAAAAAAAAAGTGAAAAAAATGGATTTCTTCTTTTTAACAGTTTTCGGAATGGAAGTAGAATTGCCCTTTTCTTCTTCTCCCCGAAACCGACGTTCGTTTTTTGATCCCATTTTTAAAGAACTTAAAAAAAAAATAAAAATTTGGAAAAAGAATTTTTTTCTAGTTCTAAAAGTCTTAAACGAAAGAACAAAATTTTTTCTAAATATAGCAAAAGAAACAGCACAACGGATCATCCAAAGTATTCGCAAAAGGATTCTATTTCTAAAAGAAAAAATAAAAAAACTATCATTATCAAATCTTTTATTTATATTTGGATTGAGAAAAATATATGAATTGAATGAAATTCAAAAAGATTCAACAAAAAGTAAAAGTAAGAGGAATCAAATTATTTACGAATCCACCATTCCAATTCAATCTATTAATTGGACAGATTGTTCATTGACAGAAAAAAAAATAAAAGATCTGAATGATAGAACAAAGAAAATCATAAAACAAATAGAAAAATTTAAAAAAGACAAGAAAAAAGGTTCAGAGAGAAATATTTGTTCTAAGAAAACAACTTATGATGATAAAAGATTAGAATTACAAAAAAATATTTGGCAGATATTACAAAAAAGAAATGTTCGATTATCCCGCAAATCACATTATTTTTTTAAATTTTTCATAGAAAGGGTATATATAGATATCTTTGTATGTATCATTAATATTCCTAGAATCAATGTACAACTTTTTCTTGAATCAACAAAAAAAATTCTTACTAAATACATTTACAATAATGAAGCAAATGAAGAAAGAAAAAGAAGTGATAAAAAAAATCAAAGTCTAATTCACTTTATTTCTACTATAAAAAAATCAATTTGTAATATTAGGAATACGAATTCACAGAATTTTTGTGACGTATCCTCTTTGTCACAAGCATATGTATTTTACAAATTATCACAAACCCAAGTTATTAACTTATATAAGTATAAATTAAGATCCGTTTTTGAATATCATGGAACACCTCTTTTTCTTAAGAATGAACTAAAGGATTATCTTTTTGGAGTACAAGGAATATCTCATTCCAAATTAAAACATAAGAGCGCTCCCAATTCTGTAATGAATCAATGGACAAATTGGTTAAAAGGTCATTATCAATACGATTTATCTCAGAATGGATGGTCTAGATTAGTATCCCACAAATGGCGAAATAAAATGAATGAACGCCATGTGGCTCAAAATAAAGATTTAACCAAATATCATTCATATGAACAAAACGGATTAATTCTTTACAAAAAACACGAAATAGATTCATTAACAAATCAAAAAAAAAAAATGAAAAAACAATATGGGTATGATCTTTTATCATATAAATCCCTTAATTATGCAGATAAGAAGGACTCATATATTTATGGATATAGATCGTCATTCCAAGCAAATAATAACCAAGCGATTTCTTATAATTCCAACACGCGTAAAAAAAAAAAATTGGATATGACGGATGATATTCCTCTCAAGAATTATATAGTAGAAGATTCTATTCTAGATATGGAAAAAAATTTGGATAGAAAGTGTTTTGATTGGAGAATTCTGAATTTTTGTCTTACAAATAAAGTGCATTTTTGGGGTTCGATCGATACCGATTATTATTTTACGCTTCATGAAGAAATCAACCCATCCAATAAAAAAAAAAACCTTTTTGATTGGATGGGAATGAATGTAGAAATACTAAATCGTTGCATAGCGAATCGGGAATTTTTTTTCTTCTCTAAAATTTTTATATTTTATAATGCATATACGAGTAACCCATGGATCATACCAATCAAATTCCTTTTTTTCAATTTTAATGTAAATAAAAATGAGAAAAACATCACGGAAAAGAAAAAAATAGATATTTTTAGACGATGGAAAAAAAAAAAATATCTTGAATTAGAGTTAGAGACTCGAAATAAAGGAAAAACAGAATATGCAGGTCGACTAAATCTTGAAGCATCCCCTTCAAAGAAAGAAAAAGATGTTAAAGAAGATTATGCCAGATCCGACATAAAAAAGGGTGTAAAAAAAAATAAATACACGAACAACATCGAAGCAGAACTTAATTGCTTCCTAAGAAGGTATTTGCTTTTTCAATTGAACTGGCGTGATTGCTTAAATGAAAGAATAATGAATAATATCCAAGTATATTGTCTCCTGCTTAGACTGAAAAATATAAAAGAAATTGCTATAGCCTCTATTCAAAGAGGAGAACTAAGTCTAGATATTATGAAAATTAAGAATCAGAAGGATTTCACTCTTACAGAATTGAATAAAAATACGGAATTGATGAAAAAAGGAATATTGAGTATCGAACCGATTCGTCTGTCTATAAAAAACCATGAACAATTTAATATGTATCAAACCATAGGCCTTTCGTTGATTCATAAGAGAAAGCACCAAATTAATCAAAGATACCGAGAAAAAAGCTACGTTGATAAGAAAAATTTGGATAAATCCATTAAGAAATCCATTACAAGAACAAGAGATCAAAAGCTGACTGAAAATAAAGAAAAAAAGAATTATGATTTGCTTGTTCCTGAAAATCTTTTATCCGCTAGACGTCGTAGAGAATTGAGAATTCTAATTTGTTTCAATCCTAGGAATAGAAATAGTGTGCATAGAAATACGGCATTTTACAATGAGAATAAAGTGAATAATTGCTGTCAAGTTTTGGCTACAAGTAAAAATATTGATAGAGATAAACAAAAACTAATTAATTTAAAGTTATTTCTTTGGCCAAATTATCGATTAGAAGATTTAGCTTGTATGAATCGCTATTGGTTTGATACCAATAATGGCAGCCGTTTCAGTATGGTAAGGATACATATGTATCCACGATTGAAAATTCGTTAATCTACATTTTTTGTTTTTTCTATTTCTCGTAACATATCTGGTATGCGAAAACAAATAGATGCACATACGCATTGCATTGTCTTACCCTCTATTCTCACTGAGGTACGATACTAATTCAATGATATATCCTATCCATTAGATCTATAAATGAATCACCAAAATCTTCTTATTTGAAGTCGACAATTTTGCTTTTGTGAATGCATAAATATAGTATTTTTTGTATACCTATTTGAATTGGGTTGATTAATCAAAATTTATTTGAAAAAGAAAATCAGGAATTCTAGATTATTGTATATTAAGATTATTGTATATACAAAATTGAAAATGAGTGTCATTTCATTATTATTACTGATCAATAAAAATATCTAGACTCTATAAAAAGGGGGGAAAGACAAGCTTTCATTTTTTTATGGTAAAAAAATCATTTATACCCGTTATTTCACAAGAAAAAAAAGAAGAAAACCCGGGATCGATTGAATTTCAAGTATTGAATTTCACCAATAAGATACGAAGACTTACTTCACATTTGCAATTGCACAGAAAAGACTATTTATCTCAAAGGGGTTTACGTAAAATTCTGGGAAAACGGAAACGACTCTTGTCTTATTTGTCAAAGAAAAATGGAATACGTTATAAAAAATTAATTAATCAGTTGGATATTCGGGAGCCACAAACTAATTAATTTGAAGAGTCGTTTTGAATTATTCGATTTATTAGATCTTGAATTTTGATGAACTAAGTTTTGTTTTAAGCAATTCATGGAAGAATGAATCGAGGAAAAACCTATGAATGCCCCAACTACAAGAAAAGACCTCATGATAGTCAATATGGGTCCTCACCATCCATCAATGCATGGTGTTCTTCGACTTATTGTTACTCTAGATGGTGAGGATGTTATTGATTGTGAACCAATATTGGGTTATTTACATAGAGGGATGGAAAAAATTGCAGAAAACCGAACAATTGTACAATATCTGCCTTATGTAACACGTTGGGATTATTTAGCTACTATGTTCACAGAAGCAATAACTGTAAATGGACCGGAACAGTTAGGAAATATTCAAGTACCTAAAAGAGCTAGCTATATTCGAGTAATTATGTTGGAGTTGAGTCGTATAGCTTCTCACCTACTATGGCTGGGACCTTTTATGGCAGATATTGGTGCACAAACCCCTTTCTTCTATATTTTCAGAGAAAGAGAATTAATATATGATCTATTCGAAGCTGCCACAGGTATGAGAATGATGCATAATTTTTTTCGTATCGGAGGGGTAGCGGCTGATCTACCTCATGGCTGGATAGATAAATGTTTGGATTTCTGCGATTATTTTTTAACAAGGGTTGTTGAATATCAAAAACTTATTACGCGAAATCCTATTTTTTTAGAACGGGTTGAGGGGGTAGGCATTGTTGGTGGAGAGGAAGTAATAAATTGGGGTTTATCAGGACCAATGCTTCGGGCTTCCGGAATCCAATGGGATCTACGTAAAGTTGATCATTATGAATGTTACGAGGAATTTGATTGGGAAGTTCAATGGCAAAAAGAAGGAGATTCATTAGCTCGTTATTTAGTACGAATTGGTGAAATGGTAGAATCCATAAAAATTATTCAACAGGCTCTGGAAGGAATTCCGGGGGGGCCATATGAGAATTTAGAAATCCGCTGCTTTGATAGAGAAAAGGATCCAGAATGGAATGATTTTGAATATCGATTCATTAGTAAAAAGCCGTCTCCGACTTTTGAATTACCGAAACAAGAACTTTATGTGAGAGTTGAAGCCCCAAAGGGAGAATTAGGAATTTTTCTAATAGGGGATCAGAATGGTTTTCCTTGGAGATGGAAAATTCGTCCCCCGGGTTTTATCAATTTGCAAATTCTTCCTCAGTTAGTTAAAAGAATGAAATTGGCTGATATTATGACAATACTAGGTAGCATAGATATCATTATGGGAGAAGTTGATCGTTGAAATGATAATTGATACAACAGAAATACAAGATATCAATTCTTTTTCCAGATTGGAATCTTTAAAAGAGGTCTATGGAATTATATGGATACTTGTCCCTATTTTGACTCTTGTATTGGGAATCACAATAGGTGTGCTAGTGATTGTATGGTTAGAAAGAGAGATATCCGCAGCGATACAACAGCGTATTGGACCTGAATACGCCGGTCCTTTGGGAGTTCTTCAAGCTCTAGCAGATGGAACAAAACTACTTTTCAAAGAGAATCTTATTCCATCTAGGGGAGATATTCGTTTATTCAGTATTGGACCATCTATATCAGTCATATCAATTCTAGTAAGCTATTCAGTAATTCCTTTTGGCTATAACTTTGTTTTAGCTGATCTCAATATCGGTGTTTTTTTATGGATTGCTATTTCGAGTATTGCTCCCATTGGACTTCTTATGTCAGGATATGGGTCAAATAATAAATATTCCTTTTTGGGTGGTCTACGGGCTGCTGCTCAATCGATTAGTTATGAAATACCATTAACTCTATGTGTGTTATCAATATCTCTACGTGTGATTCGTTGAGACAGAAACTTTTCCATGCTCCTTTCTTTTCGTCTTTATTTCTTTTCTTCTTTATAGCAAAGGGGTAGAAAAAATGGAATAGATATCCTGATTTTTGATTTTCATTATTTTTATTCAAAATTCGGATTGATGAACTAAATCAGATAGTTATATGAGTGAAATAAAACAGCTTCTATTTATTCATTATTCATTGATTTAATATTCTAAGATTTAATATTCTAATATTTTAGAATATTCTAATTTTCATTATTAATTTAATGAAATTGAAATTCAATATTAAATATTTATTAATTTATTAATAAAATTAAAAAAAAAATCGATATATATCTTATTTTGAATATATAATTTTATTTTGAATATATAATATTAATTTAATTATTATATATATTTATATTTAATATATTATTAATATATTAATATATATATAGTAATATATATAGATATAGGATATAGAATTAATATACTATGATTTGAATTTCATTTGAATCTGCAGTAAAAATATTGAGTCTCATTTTCTATGTATAAGAATTAAGTGGAAAAAAATTATAAGCGGAAGAAAGCGTTTACCCCAAAATTGGTTGATTAGTCATCCTGTTTTGAAGCGGGCTCAAAAGACCAACCTTATTGAGTTTTCACTATCGACTATCGTTTGTATGAATTACCATACATGTATTACCATAAGGGGAGATTGATAAAAAATGCGTGGATGGTTAGAAACACCAAGATACACAAAGGATTAGTAATGGAGATTATGTAAATTCTCCAAAAGAGCATTTCTGCATAATATAAAAAGAATACAAATTGGGGCTTTAAGTTCGTAGAAAAAATAAGGCAGTACTCCCCACAATTCCGATCCAGAGTATGCTCCTATCCACTGATTAAATAAATAACTATCAGAAACGAAATAATCCTTTAATTTTTTTTTAAGTCCCTTTTTGTTTTGCACATAAAAAAAAGAAGAATAGGAACGAAAAAAAACAAAAGAATAGAATACAATTAAAAAGAGGGATCCCTTTTGATTCTTTCTTATATCCATATTCATGGAAATACAATTTATGTCATAATTCATAAACTAGTGTCTAATTTTTTTACGTAATCGAAAACGACGGGTTATTGAGAATTCTAAAGGAGTATTTTATTGAATTGAAGAATTCAATTATTACTCAACAAATTCAAATTCTTAAGGGATGAGATCAATTCAGAAGTACCTTTTTGTATTTATTATTATAACAGACAGAATTCAATTGGTCTAATTCAGGACCGTCCAATGGATTTGAATCCTATCTATCCGAGGGATATATCAAGATAAATAACCGGCCCGGTCCCTTAGATTTATTTATGGCCTTCGAGGAGCCGTATGAGGTGAAAATCTCATGTACGGTTCTGTAATAGCGATGGGAACAGTAATGTTATCACCGACTAGGATTATCTAACAGTTTAAGTACAGTTGATATAGTTGACGCACAATCAAAATATGGTTTTTTTGGATGGAATTTATGGCGTCAACCTATAGGTTTTATCATTTTTCTAATTTCTTCCCTAGCGGAATGTGAAAGATTACCTTTTGATTTACCAGAAGCTGAAGAAGAATTAGTAGCAGGTTATCAAACCGAATATTCGGGTATAAAATTTGGTTTATTTTACGTTGCTTCCTATTTAAACTTATTAGTTTCTTCATTATTTGTAACAGTTCTTTACTTGGGCGGTTGGAATATCTCTATTCCATACATATTTGTTTCTGAGCTTTTTGAAATAAATAAAACATGTGGAGTTTTTGGAACTACAATTGGTATCTTTATTACATTAGCTAAAACTTATTTGTTCTTGTTCCTTTCTATCACAACAAGATGGACTTTGCCTAGGTTAAGAATGGATCAATTATTAAATCTTGGATGGAAATTTCTTTTACCTATTTCTCTGGGTAATCTATTATTAACAACTTCGTTTCGACTGTTTTCACTGTAAAAGATTGATATTCTATATTCATAACTTGTCTCAAACAAGAGAAAGAAACAAAACAAAAATATTCATAGATATTCACGATATGTTCCTTATGGTAACTGGGTTCATGAATTATGGTCAACAAACAGTACGAGCTGCAAGGTACATTGGTCAAGGTTTCATGATTACCTTAGCCCACGCAAATCGTTTACCTGTAACTATTCAATATCCTTATGAAAAATTAATAACATCGGAACGTTTCCGCGGTCGAATCCATTTTGAATTTGATAAGTGCATTGCTTGTGAAGTATGTGTTCGTGTATGTCCTATAGATCTACCCGTTGTTGATTGGAAACTGGAAACTGATATTCGAAAGAAACGATTGCTTAATTACAGTATTGATTTCGGGATCTGTATATTTTGTGGTAACTGCGTTGAGTATTGTCCAACAAATTGTTTATCAATGACTGAAGAATATGAACTTTCGACTTATGATCGTCACGAATTGAATTATAATCAAATTGCTTTGGGCCGTTTACCAATGTCAGTAATTGACGATTATACAATTCGAACAATTCAATTCAAATAAAATTCTTTATTTATTTATTTCAATATTTAAATTATTTAAATATTGAAAAGATTTATATAATTTTATTAATATAGTTTATAGTTTCGAAATAGTTTCGAATACTCGTTCGTATAAAGAATTAGATTAGTCCTATAACTGTACCTAGAGAAATTCACACTCCTTAGGATTTAATTCAATTAGGAATTTAGTATATAAAATTTTTTCCTGGTCGTATCAATAAGGTCATGAAATTTCAATTTATTTATCTTTTATTTTACATCTAATGGATTTACCTGAACCGATACATGATTTTCTTTTAATCTTTCTGGGATCAGGTCTTGTATTAGGAAGTCTAGGAGTAGTATTATTTACCAACCCA